GCCACTTCTGGCTTTTTTTCTGTTTATGTGGTGCTGAGGAATTGAACCCAAGGCCTCATGCATGCAAGGCAAGCACTCTACCAGTGAGCTTCTCCTCAGCCTTATTTCCAAAAGCTTGTGTCTGGTATTTTCATAGTTTCATGGTCTTCCCTGGAAGACATTACATTACATTACATCCTGAAGACATGAAAGTTTATTCTGATTTGGGTTATGACCTGACATGTACTGAAATTTGTGGTATTGAGTGATATTGCTGAGAAACTCGGCTGTATTTAAAATTATTTTAAAATGTACTTTTTTTCTGGTAATAAGAGCAGTTTTTTAAAAGAAAAACCTCGAGTTAATGATAAAAGAAGACATAGTGGACATTCTTGTCAGATATTTCTATCTTAAATAGGATCCTAGTGTATATATTATTTTTGTTCCACATTAAAAAAAACCCAAACACCTAACCTTATATTGATATTTTAAGAAACAGTAAAAATCAGGCTAAAGCTTAACAGAGCCCCAAATACATCCCCATCGGAAGTGCCCTCTCCCATCCAGTATATTGGCTTCCTTCTGCCTCTGGTGCCAGCCCTGCTCTGTCCTGGCTCTCAGAACTATGCATTAGACATTCCTGTGTTGTGGACCCCTCCATGCACATTGCTCTCTGTTCCCTTGAGTTCTTCAAGCCAAACTTGTAGATTTCATTGCATCAGAAGTTCATGGAGGCTGGGAATGTGGCTTAGTGCTAGAGGGTTCCATTCCTCAGTATCACATAAACAGAAAAAAACCCAGAAGTAGTGCTGTGGCTTGAGTAGTAGAATGTTAGCCTTGAGCAAAAAAAGTTCAGGGACAGGGCCCAGGCCCTGAATTCAAGCCCAAGTACTTGCAAAATAAAGAAGAAGAAGGAAGAAGAGGAAGAAGTAGAGGAGGAACAGAAAGAGGAGGAAGAGGAGGAGGAGGAAGAGAAGGCGGAGGAGATAGAAGAGGAGGAGGTGGCAGCAGCAGCAGCAGCAGCAGCAGCGGCAGCAGAAGAAGAAGAAGAAAAGAACAAGAACAAGAAGAGGAGGAGGAGGAAGAAGAAAGAAGTTGAAGAAAGAAGTTCATGGAACTTCCTGTACCATACTGGTTGTCTAATTATTCATTAGTGTTTGTTCTTATTCCCTTCATTTTATCTTTTTTAAATTGCAAGACAACAGGTCTGTGTTGTCTTCTTCAGTGTCTACCATGGACTCCGAGAATTTGAGCATTTCATTCTTTTTTTTTTTTTTTTTTTTTTTTAAATTAGGAATTCTAGGGACACAGCACTCCGGGCCAATAATTATTTTTATCTAACTGCTTGTGCTTAAAAGAAATTGCAAGTCAGTTGCCAGTGGCTTGTGCCTGTAATCCTAGCTACTCTGGAGGCTGAGATCTGAGGATCCCATTTCAAAGCCAACTGGGCAAGACTGTCAGCAAAAAGTCAGAAGGGGAGCTGTGGTTCAAGTGGCAGAGTACCAGCCTTGAGCCAAAAATTTAAGGGGTAGCTCCCAGACCCTGCATTCAAGCCCCAGTACTGGTACAAAAAAGAAAAGTTCTCAGAGTGTCCTGTTAAAAACCTGAAATGCCCGACGATCCATGGGTTGCTGGTTAGAGAAGAGTCAGATTTAAGAGACAAGTTAAGAAAAGCCGACAGAATGGCTAGTGCAGCAGCAGAAACTGACAAGTTAATGAGGTAGACAAACCAGGTCTCCTGTGGGTAGGGATTCCTCATATAAAAGCTGAAGTCAGGATCTGGTTATCCTCTCCGTGGGGATTTACACGTACCCTAGAGCATTTCATTTTTTTTTAAATTTTTTTTTGGGGGGTCTGGTTGTGGGGCCTGAACTCTGGGCCTGGGCACTGTCCCTCAGCTCTTCAGCTCAAGGCTAGCGCTCTACCACTTGAGCCACAGCGCCACTTCCGGCTTTTTTCTTTTTGCTTATGTGGTGCTGAGGAATCGAACCCAGGGCCTTGAGCATGCAAGGCCAAGCGCTCTACCACTGAGCCACCTTCCCAGCCCTCTTTTTTTTTTTTTTGGTCAGTTGTGGGGTATGAACTCCTTGAGCTTTTTGCTCAAGGCTAGCACTCTACCCCTTTGAGACACAGCTTGACTCTGGTTTTCCAGTGATTAATTGGAGATAAGAGTTTCATAGACTTTTTTTTTTGTCTGGGCTGGCTTCAAACTGTGATCCTCAGATCTCAGCCTCCTGAGCAGCTAGGATTACAGGTGTGAGCCACCAACACCTGGCTTATTCTTTTATTAAATGTATCAAATGCTGAAAATTTGGTTGCCAGCCTATGTCACTGTTGGGAGGTGGTAGAACCCTTAGGATGAGGGGCTTTGTGAAGGGACAGGTCATATAAGAGCATGCCCTTGAAGGGGGTCTTGGGATCCCAGCAGATCCTGTCTCTTTGCTTCCCAGCTGTTACAAGGTATCCTTGCTGCCATCATGTACTGCTTGCCACAGGTCCTAAGGAAGACAGCCACTCTGAAACCATGAGGCAAAAATTAATTGTTCCTCCTTTTAATCCAAGTCTCCTCCCACCCCACCCCTCACACCTTTATCTATACTGGGATTTTTGGACTCAACACCTCAACTCTTATTTGGTCTTTTACTATAGCTGGCACTCTACTACTTCAGCCAGTTTTGGTCCAGCTTTTTGTTAACCAGTAACGTGGTAGAGGGACAACTATGCTTGGAGAAGAGTCTTGTGGACTTTTCTGTCCAGGCTGGCTTCAAACCTTGATTCTTCATGTCTTCACCTACTGAGTAGTTAAGATTATAGTTGTGAGCCACTGGCACCCATTCTTCAGCTGGTTTTTATATTAGTTTTTTTTTCTTTTTGTTGGACTCTGGGCCCGGGCCCTGTCCTTGAGCTTTTTTTTGCTCAAAACTAGTGTTCTACCACTTTGAGCCTCAGCTCCACTTCTGGTTTTCTGGTGGTTAATTGGAGATAAGAGTCTCATGGGCTGTCCTGACCAGGCTATCTTCGAACTTCAACCCTCAAATCTCAGCCTCCTGAGTAGCTAAGATTACAGATAGGAGCCATCAGTGACTGGCTTACATTGGTTATTTTTGGGATAAGGTCTCACTTCCTGTGAGACTTCCTGGACCTGAACCGAGGTCCCCTTATTTTAGGCTTCCTGTTGTATTTGGGATTACAGGTGCATGCCACTATTCCTTGCTATTAATTGGGACAAGGTCTCATATATAAGCTTGGGCTGGCCTTGAACTGTGATCCTGTCAATCTCTTTCTGTCAAGCAACTGAGATTATCGGTAAGAATTATTGTCATCCAGATTTAAGTTGTTTTGTCACAATGACAGAGGTTGACTGACAAGAGTTTCTTCATGTTATGGGCCTGTATTCTTTCCAAACAATTTTCAGAGGATCCACTAGCCTTCTGTCAAGAGGGTATTTTGGTATGTTTTTAAAAGCAGGTCTTTCTGAACCTGCTGTCCCATCCTACTTTTATTGCAGCTTTTACTTAACAACTCTATCTGGCAACTGGAAGAGATATTAGCAGGTTAGGCTTTTGACATCTGCCCATGTGTTCAACAAAGGAATTAAGCTTTTTCTTAGTTTCAGATGTTGCCTTGGACTCTAGGCCCCTAAGGGACCTTGACTGACTCAGGAGTGAGCCTCTGGGGTAAAGAGAAGGGTGTAGAAGGGCCTTCAGCCACCAGTTATCTCTGGACATTCCTCTCCATTCCTTCCTATTAGCAAAGAAAGAGAACAGCCATTGACATTTTCCTTGAGGATCTGTTTCAGAACATTTTGTCCCATTGTGTAAGGCACTCATGCCTTCATTCTCCAAGTGTTGTCTTGCCAGTGTCTGGTGCTGTTCCAGGTGCTGGGAACATGGCAGCAAGCTGTACTCTTGTCAGTGGGGGATGCTGGCTGCACAGAGAGATGGTACAATGGAGCAGATGGGAGGGGTTGTAACTGCTACAGGGAAAATAGAAGGAGGGAAGATGGCTAGAGGGAAAGTCACATGGGAAGGAGATGATTGATAAAACCAGTGGTGGGGAAAAAGAGGTACTGAGAGGCTTAAGCCCCTCTGGGGGAACAGCACTCCAAGCAGAGAGACAGCCATGATAAGACCATGCAAGTGCTATTCAGGCTAAGGCCTGGGATGTTTGAGGGGCAGTTCAGAGCTCACTGTGGGTTAGGCAAAGATGCCAGGGGCAAGAGGAGAGGAGGTGAAGAGGAGGGGATGGATGTCCATGAGTTCCTATGACTCAGTGAGTTCTGTGATTTGTCCTCTGGTTAAAGGGGAAGCTGCTGGAGGCCCTGGGGCAGAATACTGAGAATTGCTCATAGGGGCCATGGGAGGAGCAGGCTACCAAGGAGATGATGGTGGCTTGGACCCAGGTGGGTAGAGGGATTCATTCTAAGGTAGGGCTTACAGACTGAATATAACAATAGTTTTGAGGTAAGGAGAGTTTTCTAGGGACATGGGGAATTTAGATTGATACTGGACACATCAGGGTGCAAGTCAAGAAAGTTGTTTGCAAGTGGCTCATGCTTGTAATCTTAGATACTCAGGCTGAGATCTGAGGAGTAAGGTTCAAAGCCAGCCTATGCAGAAAAGTCCATAAGACTCTTATCTCTAATTAACCAGCAAAAAGCCAGAAGTAGAGCTATAGTGGTAGAATGCTAGTCTTGAGCAAAAATGCCAAGTAAGAGGGAGAGGCCATTTGTTCACAATACTTTCATGCACACACACACACACAGACACACACACACAGACACACAGACACACAGACACACACACACACAGAGTGTTTTGTAAGTCTGGAGTGGGAAGTAGGGCCCTGTGAACCTTGTGTGCGATGTGATGTTTACAGCCTTGAGCCTGTGCCTGACTGTATGTTGGGAAGGAGCTCCAGGGCCAAGGCAGATGAGAGGCATCAGAGGACACGGATGAGGTGGCCAGTAAGGTATGTAGGAACCCAGACTGACGATGAGTCGCTCTGCCTCACCCACACAGGTGTGACAACGTCCGGGTGTTTAAGCTGGGCCTCTTCTCAGGCCTCTGGTGGATGCTTGCTTTGTGCTGCTGGATCAGTGACCGAGCCTTCTGTGAACTGTTATCGTCCTTCCACTTTCCCTACCTGCACTGCGTGTGGTAAGGCCCTGCACAGGGGGAGTGGGCTGCAAGACAGGTATCAGACTTGCTGCTGAGCACGGTGTGCTTTATGAGGCACACAGGTGGACTTAGGGGACAATGGCCAGGCACAGATCCCAAGCCTGCCTCTCCCCTTACATCTCTTGTCTGACATTTCAGAAGCAACAGAAAGTATTGTAGAAAGGAGAATGGATGCCAGGCTGCAGGTTTAGCCAGAACAAAAAGACTGAATTGTTAGGCTGCAGGGCTGTAGTCTCTCACCTGCTAGCTCCATAATTAAAGCACAAAGGAGAGTGAAAACGGAATCTGTCATGCTCTCCCTGTAGCTCTGGCTACATGGGGACAGGGGTGGTTCTCAGGATTCTGAGTGGCCAAGTGAAGGTTCAGGCCTCACAAGTCATGGGGGATAGTCTCATCTGTTCTTTTTACAGGTAGAACAGAGAACTAAAATGAATTGTTCATGGTCATTCATCTGTTTATATAAAAACAGCCTGGGAGTTCAGTAATAAGGAACGGGAGCCTCTGTATTGTGGGAAACTGAAGATTCATTATAAGTTTAAAGAAAAAAAAAGTAGGTTGCAAAACTGCATGCAGAAGCTCCACCCAGAAAGCCGGGGAGGAAAGGGGAGTAGTTTTCTTCCTAGATCTGCTTCAGCTTCAAAACCCAGGGTAATGTTCCTTCTCTGTCCTCCCAGGCTGCTGATTTCAAAAGGAGGACAAGGAGCCCTGGTAGATTGAAGATATCCAAGGCCGTTTAGTACTGAAGACCTGGAAGCTTTGTTCAAACCAGATTCTTAACTTTTATCCTGAGGTGGCTTTAAGATACCCAGCTTAAGAGCTGTGAATGGTTCAAATGATAGAGTTCATACCTACAAAGTGCAAGACCCTGAGTTCAAACCTGATATCACACACATACACACACACACACACACACACACACACACACAGACACACACACACACACACCATCCTAGAGTCTCACTTAGAAACTTAGCTTTAATTATTATTTTAATATTTTTGGTGCCAATCCTGGGGCTTGAACTCTGGGCCTAGACACTGTCCTTGAGCTTTTTTTTTTTTCCATCAAAGCTAGCACTCTACCGTTTGAGCCATAGATCCACCTCTGGCTTTTTTGGTGCTTAATTGGAAAGAAGAGTCTCCTGGACTTTCTTGCCCAGGCTGGTTTTGAACCTCGATCCTTAGGTATCAGCCTCCTGAGTAGCTAGTATCATAGGAATGAGCCACCGGTGCCTGGCTTGGCTTTAATTTCATTGCACAAATGAACCTGAAATTGTATATACAATGCAACATGTATATATTTATACGAGTTCAGGGACTTCCAGATCAGAATACAAAAGACAAGACAAGACAAAACATCACAAGTTGGAGTTTTCAGTTTTAAGAGCCATTGCCTGAAATCTCTTAGGTTTAACTTCACTTTTTACAAAAGTCTGCAAGAGAATGCCTTTCACTCACATATGGTACTTTATTGGTTCTTTTAAACCTTTGCTAACTGAATACAAAATATGTTTACTTTCATATCTTAAAAATAGCATTGTTTGGCATCTTTTCAATTGGAAATTGGCTATGTGTATTTCCTTTTTGGAAATGTGCCTTCTAATTTTCTTCATCTTCTCTATTGTGTTTCTCTTTTTATAAAGTTATACCAGCACCTCGTGCCTTCACATAGCAGACAGTCATTATAGCCTCCATAACTGTGTGACATTTATTATGCAAATTTGTAGCATTTCCCAGAGCATGCAGAATAATACATTAAACCCCCAAGTAGGCAACACTGGCTTCTGCTATATAATTATCAACAGGAGATCATGTCTTGTCTCTACCATGCCACCCACTCTTCACCCCACCCTGATTGTTCAAAAAATACCTCCCAGACAGTGTATGGAATGGTGACCTTTTCTAGTGTTCTTTGTAATGAAGAGCTGTGTGTGTGTGTGTGTGTGTGTGTGTGTGTGTGTGTGTGTGTGTGCATGTGTGTGTGTGTGTGTGTGTGTGTGGCTTGAACTCAGGGTCTGGATGCCTCATTTAGTTTTTTTTGCTCAAGGATAGTGCTCTGCCACGTGAGCCACTTCCAGCTTTTTAGTGGTTAATTGGAGATAAAAGCTCATGAGCTTTCCTGTGCAGTTAGCTTCTAATCCAGAGCCTCAGATATCAGCTAGGATTATAGGCATAAGCCATCAGCAACTGGCTGTAATGAACAACTTTAACTGTTTATCATCATGCCAATATTCACCCCCAATTTTCCTTTTTTTAGTGTGTTAATATTTTTTGTGCTATACTGGTTTTGACCTTTTGTGTTGTCATATCTGTCAGGGGTGTGTGTGTGTGTGTGTGTGTGTGTATGTATGCGCATGTGTCAGTAACAAGGCTTGAACTCAGAGTCTCATGCCCTCACCCAGCCTTTTCACTTCATGGCTAGCACTCTACCATTTGAACCAGGCCTCTACCCTGGCTTTTTGATGGTTAATTGAAGATGGAGCCTCTTGGACTTTCCTACCTGGGCTGACTTTGATCTTTGGTCATCAGATCTCAACTTCCTGACTAGCTAGGATTACAAATCATCTGGACTGACTTTGTGTTGTTCTAAAAAAGGCCTCTCCTCCCAAAGTTTATAAAAACTATTTTGGGGGAGTATATTACAAAAACATAAATTAAATCATGAATTAAGTTCATCTCAAATTAAATTTAATATCAGGATAGGGAATAAAGAAAGCTTACAGGGCTGGGAAGGTGGCTCAGTGGTAGAGCGCTTGCCTTGCATGCATGAGGCCCTGGGTTCGATTCCTCAGCACCACATAAGCAAAAAGAAAAAAAAAAGTCAGAAGTAGCGCTGTGGCTCAAGTGGTAGAGCACTAGCCTTGAGCTGAAGTGCTGAGGGACAACACCCAGGCCCAGAGTTCAGGCCCCACGACCGGACCCCCCTCTCCCCCCGAAAAAAAGAAAGCTTACAGGGCTGGGAAGGTGGCTCAGTGGTAGAGCGCTTGCCTTGCATGCCTGAGGCCCTGGGTTCGATTCCCCAGCACCACATAAGCATAAAAAAAAGCCGGAAGTGGCGCTGTGGCTCAAGTGGTAGAGCACTGGCCTTGAGCTGAAGAGCTGAGGGACAGCGCCCAGGCCCAGAGTTCAGACCTTATGACTGGAACTAAAAAAAAAAAAAAAAAGAAAGAAAGCTTACTTGCCACACGGTCCTTTGCTTGCTAAGATAATACTAAAACTTTTAAAGAGACAGTAAAAGTAAATGTAAAGGAAAGGATTTGTCTATGAAACTCTGAATGCTCTGTAGTGAATGTCAGCTTAATCTGGATGCAGGGTATCCTTTATCTATACCCAGTTGTTTAGGTGAGAAGGCAGGATCTAAAGTTTGTTCTAGTTATCCTCTTGGAATATCTTTTGAATATTCTAATGGGGCTCAGATTGCTCAAGATCTACGAACCCTCCTGCTCTGACTCTTCATCCCTTGCTAATCGTGAGGGGTTCTGGTTCCTAATTCCCTGGGGAAGGGTGTGCTAGAGGGAGGGAGGGAGCAGGCAGGCCTCCAGCAGTCATTGCCTGCCTCTGACCTCACCCATCTCTTGCAGGCACATCCTCATCTGCCTCGCCGCCTACCTGGGCTGTGTGTGCTTTGCCTACTTCGATGCTGCCTCAGAGATCCCTGAGCAAGGCCCGGTGATCAAGTTCTGGCCCAGTGAGAAATGGGCCTTCATCGGTGTTCCCTATGTGTCGCTCCTGTGCGCCCACAAGAAGTCGCCAGTCAAGATCACGTGACGGCAAGGCAGAGTGGCTGGCCTCTCTGCTTCCTTTCCTTCATGCACTGGGCTTCATTTGCTAGCAAAGACAGCCAAGGGTGTTGGGTGTGTCTTTCTAAAAGTTCTGTTCCTTTGGCCTCTAACTAGTGTCTGCGGACTGCCAGGATTCCACTTAGCCTGGAGAAGTGTGTGAAAGTAGATGATTGGGGATATGAGATGTACCTTTCCCAGCATCACTTGCAGGTGCATCAGCTTGCTGGGCTGGGGCAGAATAGTCTCTTCGGGCTCCTGAGCAGCCTATTGGCCTCTTCCTGGAGAAGGTTGGCCCACCCCAGATGCCATTCCCACACTCTTTTGAAGTGGATGCTACCCTGATAGATAAGGACCCCTTCTCCCCCTGCCTGTCACGGCTGGAAGGTGCCAGAGACTTCCACTTGGGGAAATACTCTTTAAACCAAACCAAACCCCCACAGGACTTGGCTCAGGAGCCTGTTTTCACTTGCCCTTGCCATTAGTCAGGTTTTCTGTACATTTGTGAATCCTTTTTACTACTACCTACCTCTGCTGAGAGATGGAGAGAGAGGCTAATGAGCAAAACCTTCTACACCAAAATCACACTCCACTTTAAGCCGTTCTTGAAGAGGGGCACAACTTCTCAATGCTGACATCCTTTCTACCCTACTCTCCAACCAGCTCAGTAGCCTCAAATCCACAGACTAGCTATGGTGCGAAGATGCTCTATGCCATCCCCTCCTCCCTCCTCACCTCGTGACCCCCTAGGTAAGATTACAAAAGAGCTCTTTTCAGTCACGGTAGGGGGCGCTGGTTTAAACTTCGGAGCATATAGGCAGTTTTATTTTATTTTGAACTTTTCCTCTCTTGAGGCTGCCAGTATGCCACACCATTCTGCAAATTACCTCCAAGAACCTCACTTCTTACTTTTCCACCTTTCCTGTGGGAATTCTCTCCACATTCCCACAATGCCAGGTGCTTCTGGTTGTTTTCTAGAGCATCTGACTTGCTTGCTTTTCTCAGATGCTGGTGGTCACAATACACTGGCTGGCTGGTTGTGCTCATGGATACAGCAGGGCCAGTCTGTGACCTTCTGGGGTTTTCTCATCTAGCCTGATGCTGGCTACAGTGAGTCTCCTCACTCAGCTGCATGGTAGGCTCTGGCATAGTCATCAGGTCTAGGGTGGGACCTCGGGCCCTCAGGGATTCTCACTATAACTCAGGCATCTCCTGCTGTGTAGCACTGTAGTGTGAGGAGAGGGCACAGACATGGCCATCCCTTGTGGGTAGGTGTTGCAAGAACTGTTTCTCTGATTAGAATTTGTACAGGTTCCAAAGTTTAGCAGCAAACCTCATTTATAGAAGAGTGATGTATGAACTAAGTGGTATTTTATTAGGTATATAATGGAAGATGAAATGTATAGGATTTCCTTAACATGTTAGGAAGTGACAGTGTACATGAATGTATTGATGTTTTGCAAGGTAGAGAACACTGACAGCAAAGGGGAGTATACATGTTGCTTTGTAATAGCTTAGGACATATTTAAAAATGGTTTTGAGTTGAATATTTGGAGGAAATTGTACTTCTCTGACATCTAGTGGTTCATGGATAGAACTGCTGTAACTCCTTTGGCTTTCTTGTCTAAACAATTTTAAAGGGAAATATCAGACATCCTCATTTGTGGTTGACCTTACTAGGAATAGATTCTAGTCTCATTTCTTTGGCAATGTAAAAATGTTTTTTAAGTAGTGGTATTGGAATATTTGGAGGCTAGATGTCTTAATAGGAATAAGGCGAAGTAAGGAATAGAATGTGGGAAATGGTGTGTGTGTGTATGTGCGTGCGTGCGTGCGTGTGTGCGTGTGCGTGTGTGTGTGTGTGTGTGTGTGTGTTTATCCCGTTTCCCTTATGACAGGGAACAGTCAAGGAAGGACCATTGTTCTTTATCAGGAAAAGGGCTTATTCCCTGGCAGAGCTGCTAAAAAAAAATCCTGGAGCTATCACTGAAATTAGGAGTAAAATGTAACTGATGGGTATATTTGAATGACCTGGAAGAAAGGAAAAAGGTGCCCTGCCTTGTGGGTAATTTCCAGCTCTCTTTTGTAAGACAAATGACTGAGGAATCATAAGGAATGATTTTATATGAACAGCTGTATGCCCTTCTAGAGATTGTTTCCAAAGTGATAAGAGCTGAGAAAACAAGAAATGGATCATATTTGAGAAGGACTAGTTTTGAATGGAAGTCACTACAGCTTGCCCACACAGGGTGGTAACTCAAGAGACCAGGCATACAACTTACCTTATTTTAAATTGGGTGAGAATATGATCCATATTTATATCAAAGCACTACATGTTCTTTAGGGAAAACTCAAGCATTTACAAAAAAAATGTAGAAGAAGAAAAAGCAACACATGTTTCTATTGCCTAAAAATATTCATTGTTAATACCTTGATATTTGGGTGCCTTCCTTTCTCATAAAACATTTTTTCTAAAGTAGTTGTAAATAGATGTCTTCTGGTGTTGAGAGTTCATCTCGTAGCTTGAGTGGAATATGTGCAACAGTTGGGTGTGTGTGTGAAAAGCAGGAGTGAGATAACTAGAGTTTGCTGTATACTTAACTACTGATGGCTAGATTCTAGACTTACAACTGATCTTCCTTTTGTTTTTTGTTTTTTTCCAGTCCTGGGGCTTGAATTCAGGGCTTGTATGCTGCCCCTGAGCTTCTTTTACTCAAAGCTATTGCTCTACCACTTAAGCCACAGCTCCACTTCTGGTATTTTGGGTAATTTATTGGAGATAAGAGTCTCATAGACTCTCCTGCCAGGGTTGACTTTGAACCATGATCCTCTGATCTCAGCCTCCTGAGTTGCTAGGATTACAGGTGTGAGCCACCAGTGGCCAGCTATGATCTTCCTTTTTAATTAAGCCTGACATGAATGGATCCTAAGACATAAGTGGAATCCTTCTTTATGACATTCTTTCTGCACTTAGAATGATGAGACATAGTAAATAGTAAATGTGTTACTTCATAGGTTTTAATGGGTTTGGATTTTTTTAAAGATTAAGCTCATCTCAGTTGTTCATATAAGATTATGAATCTCTATCTCTCCTAATGTATTGACATTTCCTAATGTCTTGATTATGGTTGTCCGATTTCACTGTGGCTAGAATCTGCCTGAGATCTATATCCTACAGGAACTAGGCTGAAGATATGAAAACCCACTAATGATAGCAAGTGATCATTTCCCACTGTAACGTTTTCATTTTACAGTGTTTGTTGGTTATTAGAAAAAGAAATCTTTCTTCTCTTTGTTATTACATTATTACAAAGCAAGCACTTCAGTGCACACATGGAAGGTGTGTGGGGATAAAATGTCTGAATTCACTTGGTTACAAGCTACATGTTGGGGGAACTCCATGCCTGACCAATCATGAGTGCCTAAAACATTAATCATAGATCAAAGATGTCCTGTTGAAGACAAAGCTCAGTGGACATCAGACACAGGCTTTGTAAAAACACTGCCACCAATTCTGTTTATTGGGTTTCTCAGGCGTGTAAAACTTCTCTCACCAGTTCCTTTATGCTTCCCTGAGCCAGGGCAGTGGAGGCTGGGGGACTGGGATTTGAGCCTTCCTCTCACTTTGTCCCTTGGAGCTGATGTGGAACCATCTACCATCTCTGGGGGGAGATCAGGACCCTTTCCTACCTCCTTCTCTCCATCCAGCTACACTTGAAATCGTCGTAGACAGTGCTTCACCGGGGTGCTGTGGTTCCAGCTAGTCAAAGAAACATCTTGGGCCAGACTGGGATTCTTTTTTGTTTGTTTGTTTGTTTGTTTTGTTGTCAGTGGCAGGGCTTGAACTTGAGGCCTGGGTGCTGTCTCTGAGCATTTTTGCTCAAGGCTAGTGCTTTACCACTTTAGAATCACAGCTCCACTTCCAGTTTTGAGTGGTTAATTGGAGATAAGAGTCTCATGGAGGCTTTCCTGCCCGAGCTGGCTTTGAACTATGATCCTCAGATCTCAGCCTCCTGAGTAGTTAGAATTACAGGTGTGAGCTACTGGTGCCTGGCCAGACTGGGATTCTTAATAATGGATTTTATAGATACCATTCACCTTTAGACGAAAAACATAGCTATCTTTTAGAGGACTCATTGATTTGTTTTTCCTGACACGTTAAACCAGATTTAAAGATTTTTTATAACAGCTGTTTGTAATAAAAGAAAATACAGTATTTTTAGATTCTGTCTTGTACCTTCTCTAAGGTGTGCTGTATAAGGGGACAGTGCCCCCTGGTTGAAGTAGAATTTTAATCTCCATGACATTGGGAGTGAGACTTTCTGAAATGGAGCTTTTGCACTTTATGCTCTTTCTGAACTATGATAACTGTTTAAGATTAAAGATATAAGTAGCATTTCCTGTGAATAAATATGTATATATGTTTGTGACTATTTCCAAAATGATTTCTGAAGTATCTGTGGAGAAAATACATTTTAATTGACTGTAGAATGAAGCATATTTACCTAAGTTAATTTGTTAGCATTGCTAAACATGCTTTAGTGTTGCTCATCGTTGATTTCTTCTGAGAACTGTGAAGTTAATGCATCTAATATAGTCCTAGTACAAAGTGCTGAAACATATTTACTAGAAGTTCTTTCGTTATGTCAGTTGGATATAAAATTGCAACTACAGGTTACCAGTTCCTTTGTGGTGGGTTTCATCCAACTACTGGAAGATCTTTTGACTTTCTAAAACAGTAAATGACATTAGCAGGAGAATCTACACCTGTTTACTTTTTCTTAGTTTCCTATGACAGAAAGAATGAGTGGCCCAACAAAGAAGGATGGGAGTTCAAAGCTCTGAGTTCAATCCCAGCACTCTCTCCAGAAACGATGGTATCTGGATATGGGTTTGTCATGTATTTTATCTACCTTCATACTGTCAACTTTTTTCCTAATAAAAAGTTAAGAAAATAAAGCATTGAGTTTTGTTCATTCCTTTTGGAGTAGGCCTTGTCTTTTTCGGGGGGGGGGGGGGAGGGATGGAGAGATGGGGTCTTATCATGTTGCATAGCTACTTTGCATGCCTGGCTCAAGTGATCCTCCCCAGCCCCCCAAGTACCTGGGACTCCACTGGCCTCTGACTCCTCTAAAGTGTTTTGGCAGCCCCTGTCCTGTTATTTTTTGGTCCCAAATAACACTTCTGTCTCCATCCAGGTTGGTGACACCAGGTTATCTGGAAAGCCATATCTCTGGTTATTCACAAACAAAAAGGTCATCATGTCAGTCTATTTTTATTTATTGGTATGTGTGTGTGTGTGTGTGTGTGTGTGTGTGTGTGTGCCAATATTAGGGCTTAAACTCAGGGACTCAGGGCTTTAAAATGTCCCTCATAGGAAGTGGCGCTGTAGCTCAAGTGGTAGAGCGCTCGCCTTGAGCTGAAGAGCTGAGGGACAACGCCCAGGCCCAGAGTTCAAGCCCCACGACCGACAAAAAAAAAAAGAAATAAAATGTCCCTCATAGTTGGCACTCTACCTCTTGATCAATGCCTCAAGTCTGGCATTTTGCTGGACTGGAGTAATCCAGAAAAATAAGTAGTTACAGTTACAGGTTGAACCAATGGTTCCTGGTTGTTTTATACTTGTTACAACATTCCATTCAGATGCTTTTGCACTTGGATGCAGAGACCATCGTGCTATTTAAAAAAATTTAACCAATATCAGTAGAACTAGTAGAATTTATTTTTACTCTAGAGCTGGAGATAAAACAAATGGTGGCTGGAGGCAAGGCTGAGAATGTGAAATGACAATGGAGGCATTGATACTTTCCTTACAGAGACAGATTCTGGTGTACAAAGCCAGTCAAATCCACCTAGGTGGGAGGGTTTAGGATAATTTTGGAGCATCATCTCCATCTGGTGGTAAATTTTGGGTATTGCTATTAGTGGCTCTAGAGACTCCCATGCCTAATTCCTTGTCAGAGCTCACTGTAATAGTCTAAAACTCCTGTTATGCAAGGTCTTTCTGAGCCCAACCCAAGCACATTTCTTTTTTTTTTTTTTTGGTCATGGGGCTTGAACTCTGGGCCTGGGCGCTGTCTCTAAGCTCTTCAGCTCAAGGCGAGCGCTCTACCACTTGAGCTACAGTGCCACTTCCGGTTTTCTGGTGGTTTATTGGAGATAGGAGTCTCATGGTCTCT